AAATTTTATTGCTATGTCTGGTTTTATTACTATGTGCATATTAGTATTGTACAGCACTCTGGTCTACCAGGTGTGTTTTAAAGTGCTATATAAATAAATGATGAAGATGATGAGTATTCAAACCATAACCTGCAACAGGCACAGAACAGCTGTGTGTACAGTAGTATATACACCTGTATATGAGCCAGTGAGGCCATGGCCCAGGCTGTTGTAGACCTTAGTCCTGTGATTTTTATATAGCTCCGGTTAGCAAGAGGCAACCTGAAGGAAAGAAGACTCAACTTATTACTTCTTATCAAATTAATTACAGATATAATATTAAAGAGACCGGTTCATCTTAAGTCATTTGATTAAACATTTGTGGGTCTTAATGGCAAAAAGCAGTAAGCTAAACTTGTAACAGACAGAGCATATTATAAGCAGTGACAATAAAAGAACTGCATAATGTATAAGAGGTCTGTTGCTGTACTGAGACTTCGATGTATATTACTGTGTTAAATGTAAAACATCACTGTCAATAACCTGGTCAGTGGGATCCCGAGCAGGCAGTAGTCATCACTCAAATAGACATTTATCTACAGAAAAACAACAATAGATAATATTACAGCTGAAGTGCCAGAAAAGACAGGCAAGACTCTCTGCAAAGCAATTAACTACAGAGGGACTATTTATATTGCAAACATTTCTATTGTAAGACAAAACTTAACTGAACTTATAATCAGTGCAATCCAACAGATTGTTTTTCAAACACAACTGATTACCTCCAACTGTGGATTCTTCAAGTCAGCCTTCCAGCCCAGCAGTCTGCTCAGACCTGCTCCAATCACTCTGCTCACCTCCTGTTTCACACAAAAGTAGAACATTTTTTTGAACATATCCACTGAATATGAATGTCTGTTTCTATGTGGATCCCAGGGATTGCACTTAGTAATATAGAGAGATTAAAAGTATATATCCTTTTAAACAATTATTGCCGCAACACCCTTTGTCTGGGTAAGTTAAACC